AGTACAGGAATTTAAAGCAGGAAGTTTCTGAAGAAATGGAGCCATATGGGAATATATCTACCAGGTTTGAAAATGATATGCCCCAGTCTCCTGGGTGTGGAGAAACTTATGAACCTGAAGAAAAACAGAACAGCCTTCTGGATACTTCAGGGAAGATAAACAACCTACATGTGACGAAACTGGAGTAAGTCTGATTGAAGGTTCTGACCATACTGTACATCAGAGAGTCTGTCCAGGACAAAAATCTCATGCATGTGACGACTGGAAAATCTTTCAGTCGGCACTCACGCCTCATCGGGCATCAGAGGATCCATACTGGAAACAGGCCCTACAAGTGCGGAGAGTGTGGGAAAACTTTCCGTGGGAGAACTGTGTTCATCAGACATAAAATCGTACACACCGGAGAGAAGCCATATAAATGCCACAAGTGCAGCAAAGACTTTGGCTGGTGGTCAGTCCTTAACACCAGCGACTTCACATGGGAGAAACACTACCACTGTAATGAGTGCGGCAAAGCCTTTAGCCAGAAGGCAGGCCTCTTCAACCATCTCAAGATCCACACGCGAGACAAACCCTACCAGTGTCCACAGTATGACAGAAGCTTCAGTCGGCGCTCTGTGCTGAGGCAGCACCAGGGCGTTCACGCTGGCGTGAAGCCCTACGAGTACAGCGAGTGTGGGAAAGCCTTTGTGTACCACTCCTCCTCGTCTCCCATCAGGAGATCCACCGCAAAGAAAAATGCTATCAGTGCGAAGAGTGTGGGAAAGCCTTCAGTCAGAGCGGCCTCCTACAGCACCAGAGGAGCCACACTGAGGAGAAACTCTGAAGAAGACAAGCTACAAGAAAATACTTCTGAAAAACCCGAGTGAACCCCAGGCTGGTGGGCCCTCCTCCTGAGCTTGCTCATCCCAGAGTGGCAGTCCTCCTACAGCAAAGGTCTCTAACGGTGACTGCGGGGAGAGGAAAGGCCTGAGACCAGGGGTCAGGCATTGAAGACTGCAATGGTTCCTGCCCAGGGAGAGTGCTGACCTCTCTCTCTCAGACTTGCTGAGGCCAGAAATGTGGACCAAGGAGCAGGTGCTGGGGCAGGCCCTTCCCCTGCCGGCCTACAAGTGACCCCTGCCAGATGTGCAGAGGCGACAGCATGAGAACTGCAGAGCTGTGGGCTGGAAGGGTGGGGGAGCACCCTGGCTGACGGAGGGCTTGGAACAGCACAGAGCACACACTGAACTGCAGGAGCCCTGCGGTCTGAGCCACAACCCAGAGCTCCTCATACACCGTCTTTCTCTACTGTGGGGTTTGTATGTTGGGTGTTTTTTCTGACAGGTAAACTTCAAATACAGTTTTCTCAAACTACCTTCATCACTTCACCTCTAGATCCTAGGCTAAGCCATGGAACAAGATTTGCTTATGCAGAGACACCTTGGAATCAAAGGTTTCAGATCCAACGAAGACCTATCACAGTTCATCTCACAGGGCGATCACCTTTTGATATGAAAAACTGGTGAGAAAGTCTAGAGGAAAAAGACAGAGGACCTCACAAAGAGCCTTCAGAGTATGCCGGGTGGTGACCTCTCTTTGAATACCAGTGAACCCATCTGCTTCTCATCTGCCTGACTCCAGAAGCACTCGTGTCTAAGATTTTTAGGTTTCTTACCCTATTTAACCACTCCAGCTAGCTTCAACACACTGCTCTCACAGCTCACTCCCAGCTGTGCCCGGAAGTTGTCTTCCCGGTAAACGAATTTGGTTTATCTGTGAAGTTAGTGTGTGTTTTGGAATGTTTCTGCTTTAACTGTCGTCATACAGTTTATTGATCCGCTCAACGAATACTGATTGAGCATTGTGTAGGTCTTGGCTTAGGTGTGAGCACTAGGTGCAAAGTCCTTTTAACGATCTTTTACAAATTAAACTTTCTCTTAGTTTCAAAAAAAAAAAAGAATTATAAGCAATGAAACATCTGCTATTTTTAGTCACTAGGTCTTAGAGTGATGTATTATGCAGCAATAGACAAATGAAATATAAGGTATTATTATTTGTGTTCTTGCTTTGTAAAATTACCGTAGTCATTTCACAATGATGATTTAGGGAGTCACTAATAGCTCTGAAGGCTAATTAACTTTTTTTTTCAAATATACATTAGCTCACAAGAGACCATATTCCTTCTATCACTTTACCTTATGTGCTAATGTTTATAAAGTAATTATATGCAAGGAAGTGGGAAATATTTGTAACAATGAAAGTTGATATCCTTAAGAGTACAGATTCTCACAAATAAATTTTTTTTGAGAGATTTTCGCTATAGGGCGCGTGCGCTCGCCAGACAGACAGAGAGACATAGAGACAGAAAGCGAGAAATCACCCCCCAGGGGGGAGGGTCACGCCGCAATCCCCTCTCCTCCATTCTCCTCTCGGGATCTTGGGCACGCACGCACACGCGCCCAGCGTGAGTTTTAAGCCACCGGGTCCGGGACGCGAACCGCGGTCAACTACGTGGGAGTCCAGCGAGATAGCCATTACGCTAACTGCTGGTTCCCCACAAATAAATTTTTAAAAGTACTAACACTTGAATTTTAACCCATACATGACTAATAAACATGAGAATGGATTATCCTAAAGTTAAAATATGAAGCATCATTTTTTGCCAATTTAAACACTAAGACTTAAGGCCAACTAGGTTCCAGTGAAATTTGGGGAAACACCACAGTTAAAGGCTAGAGTCTGGGCCTCTATACACTCCTTGAACTACGAGGACTTCGGCCTTCCTCTTCACACTGCTTAACTCTGCACAATGTCTACAGTAAAATAAGGACAATCCCACTACCACACAGAGCCATTAGTTTTCTGTTCAGCCCATTCCCCCTTCTGTTGTCAGAGATCCTGAAAAAGAAGTGGGATTACAGGTAATTCTGAATACTTTCCTGGGAAAAAGAGAGTGAGATGAGTCAAGAATGGTATTTCACCAAAATGGGTGTGTGGCGATGAAAGAAGACTGGGGTGGGAGGCGGCCAGTGCGGAGAGTGAGAACCCCCTGCAACGGCCGGCCGGCTCCCACCAGGACTTCGAGGCTGCACTGCCACCCCGAGAAGGCGGTGCAAGAGTAGAGCCCACGCGCTGATTGGTGGGTTGTGAGCTAGGGGCGGGACGAGCGGAGCCTCCGCTGAGCTCGCGAGCGGAAGGCCACGGGCCCGCACTTCCGGTCTTTGTGACTCGTTGCGCGGGTCGGCGGTTGGCCGGTGGCCGCTCGTGGGTATCCCGGTGAGGGACGCGGGCCCTTAGGCGGAGGGAGGGCGGGGAGGAAGTGCGGGGAGGAAATGTGGCCGGAACGGTGGGATGGGGGGGAGAATCTTTCTTCCTCCCCCAGCCGGTCGCCTCGTCTCGGCCTCTTGGCCGGGGAGGCGTCTACAAGCGTCTTGGGTACCAACCGCTGCTTTCTAGCAGAATGCAGTTACTCCCCCACTCCCCTGACTTCGCACGTGCAGTGGTTTAACCAGGAATATAAAAATAGAAGGGCTGATCAGTGCAGCTGGGCTGGTTAATAAACTACAGAGTTGTAGCCTAAGTATTCTGACTAATCTCAAAAGTTACCAGGGTTAGGATTCAATTGCTGCTCTGCCCTGCTGACTAATTCAAGGGCATCCATTCCTGTCAGTATTGCCCCATCTTAAAATCGGATTATTTGATTTGTCATAAAATGTAATGCAGTTGTTTGTTACTATGTCTACCTTTAAACCTTTAAATAATTTTAACTCCCAGTATATTCTACGCTTTTTGAAAGCTGAGTTTGACCTTTTGCTTCTTTTGTATCTGTGATCTAAAGTGTTTTTGAACACATGGTAAGCATTTTACAAATACTTCTTGGTTAGTCCTCAGTATACTCCCCTTATTCAAAACAAAAACCTTTTAAAACCTAATGCCCGGCTCAGGAAAGCCCATAGTAAGTGCCTGAGCATTTGTTGAAGAAATTAAGTTAATATCAAATGTGATCAAATAGCAAATATCCCATAATATTTTATTTAAATCAACTCCTGTTTAATGTGAGTTTTAAAAAGTGTTTTATCACCACTTTAATGATGGTAGATAGCAGGTTAATCAGCATTATTAAATTCTGCATAGGTATTGTTACCTGTGGAAGTCTGAGTATGACAATTAAATATATATATGCATATTTTTTTAAGAGAAATTTTTGTTATAGGGCATGTGCACTCCCCAGACAGACAGAAAGGAAAAAAATCACTCCCCAGGGGAGATGGTCAGGCCAGTCTCTTCACCTCCATTTTCCTCTTGGGATTTTGGGCATGCATGCACATGCACCTCTTATGAGTTTGAAGCCTCTGAGTCCAGGACTTGAACTGTTGGCCATGTGGGAGTCCAGCAATAACCATTACTGCCATCTGCTGGTCCCATGAGATCTATATTTTGAAAAGCAGTTCTCTAAGTTTCACATACATATAAAGACAGATTTTTCTCCTTGATGGTAATCAGGATTGAAAGAGCATTGAAAAGGAAATTGTTTTCCTACTATGGTATTTAAGGTAATATTCTTTTGTTTCTAAAATAATTTCCTCTTATGTTAGCAGTAGGAATTCTACATAGTAGGAAACACTGAATGAAGTAAATGATTTTTAGTTTGTCATTTCATTGTTATTTTTAAAGTTTGTCTCAAACCTGCTTTCTTTCAGCATATTGCTAAAGTGACTGATCTTTATTATTACAAATTCTTAGTTTTTTTCACTGCTGTAAGTTAATAATGTTTTTATATCCCCCAGGAAAGAAGATATTACTTATACTCTTTCAGAAGCACAGAACCCAATTATACTGAGCTTTTTTTTTTTTTTTTTTTTGCTAAGCTTCTAAAGCCCAGAACGGCCATGGAATCCAGAGCAATTTCAACCCTGATATCTCAGGATCCTAAAGAACTACCAGTACTAGTGAAAGTAGAAGAGGGCCTTTCCTGGGAACCAAAAAACCCAATTTTACTGAGTTTTTTTTTTTTTTTTTTTTGCTAAGCTTCTAAAGCCCAGAACGGCCATGGAATCCAGAGCAATTTCAACCCTGATATCTCAGGATCCTAAAGAACTACCAGTACTAGTGAAAGTAGAAGAGGGCCTTTCCTGGAGTCAGAAATTTAAACAGAGCGGGAGTATGCAATCCTGCCAAGAATTATTTCGCCAGCAATTCAGAAAGTTTTGCTACCAGGAAACACCTGGGCCCCGTGAGGCTCTGGGCCGACTCCAAGAGCTTTGCTATCAGTGGCTAATGCCAGAGTTGCACACAAAGGAACAGATCCTAGAACTGCTGGTACTGGAACAGTTCCTGAGCATTCTGCCTGAGGAGCTGCAGATCTGGGTTCAGCAACATAATCCAAAAAGTGGTGAGGAAGCTGTGACCCTCTTGGAGGATTTGGAGAGGGAATTTGATGATCCAGGACAACAGGTGGGAACAGAGAAAAGTGAAGTATTGGGAAAAGGAATTTACAGCCTGCAGCATGTGGTATCATTATAATAGTAGGATGAAAATTTGCATTTTTCTATTGAACCATAACCCTAAAGTAACTTTATGACCATACCCAATGGTCTTTTTTCATTCCTGGAGATATTCTCATTGACTTCTTTGAGATTTTTTACTAAGTAGTTTCCTTAAGGATTTTCTTCAGAGTTAACCATATTTTACTGATTTCAGGTCCCAGCTAGTCCACAGGGACAAGCAGTGCCATGGAAGGATTTGACATGTTTCAGAGCATCCCAAGAGTCAACAAACATCCTACTCCAGCCTTTAAAGACACAGCTGAAATCTTGGAAACCCTGTCTTTCCCCCAAAAGTGGTGAGGAATGGAAACTCATCTGGGAACTCTTATTAGTTAGTCCTGATTTTGAGGATATAGAATTAATTGCATTTTACAAACTTGCCACATTTGAGCATCATCTTTATTATTCTAGACCAGATTTGCTCACTGTAGCAGCTTTGTATTTAGCAATTCTCATGAATGTCAGTCAGACCTCCTTGTGTCAGTTTCCCTATCCATTCATTCACTTAATCCATCACTTCATAACCGTAGGTACTAATATATGTCTGATACTGTCATAGGTACTGGGTCTCTATCTTAAGGGAGCTTTCAGGTCTAAGTGGGGTGGTGAACAAGCAGAAAGGAATAAAATATCATAAATTTTAGAAGAAAAAGTAGGCACTGGGTACTATGGGAACACACATAAAGGCACCTAACCCAATCTTAGAAGTTTCAGGAATACTTCCTAGACATCTAAGCTAAGCCTTAAAATGTGAGTAAGAGAAAGCCAGGGAAATTGCTGGGATAAGGGCTGGTCCAAACAAAGGACACAAAGTCTCAAGAGTCAGAGAATTCAGCCTATCCTGGAAATTGCAGTTAATTCAAGTTGACTTGAATGGTGAATTGATACAGGAAAGACAGTAAGAAATTAAAGGTATCTGGGACTCAAGTTGTGAAAACCTATATGTAATGCTCATTTGTACAGTCTTTTTTTTTTTTTTTTTTTTTTTAAAGAGATTTTTGCTATAGGGCACTTGTGCTCATTGAAGAGACAGACAGACAAAAAGCAAGAAATAACCAGCCAGGGCCATGGCCACACTGCAATTCCTTTTCCTCCATTCTACTCTTGGGGTTTTGGGTACACATGCACACATGCCTGACATGAATTTCAAGCCACTGTTTCCAGAACTCAAACCATAATCAGCCATGTGGAAATCCAGTGCCTTAACCACCCACACCACCTGATGGCCTTGGTTTGTAGTTTTATAAGTAGAATGTGGCACAGTTGCAGGGTTTGGGGCAAAGGAGTGATATGATTGGTGTATGATTTAGAATCTAGCTGGGAATGGAGAATGGGTTTGAGGAATAATCCTATTATAGACTGTTGTAGTTCAAGTGACCATAGTGAATAAAGCAAGATGTATTATGGTGAGGGTTGGGAAGATCAAACCTGACTCTTGTTCACCAGTACTTAAATTAATTACAGTGTCTGGTAACTGTTAAGAGCATGAAGGACAGGAGTTGAGGGTAATACTTGGGTTTCTAGTTAATGGTGGTGCTATTCACGTGACTGAGAAAACAAAGGAAAAACATACCTAGTGATGTGTTTAGTTTGGGGCATTTCTGTGTTTGTGAAATATTCACAAGTAAAATGCACAATGAGCATTTGGAAACGAGAGCCTGGAGCTTAATAGGGAGAATTAGGGATATGGGAAGACACTGGCTTATAATGTAAATAGTAATTGAAGCCTAGGAGGTAGGGAGTAGATTGAGGATATGTGAGAGACTAGAACAGAATCTGGAAGAACACTAGTATTTCAGTAAATCTAAAGAGATTCTTCTTAGAATCTAATAAGAAATAGCCACAGAAATCAGGTTGTTATAGCTGGAAGAGAATGTATGTACTGAGTTGTCAGAAAAGTCATGATGCACTTTTGCGTAGAAAAATACACCATAACTTTTCTGACAACACAACAGAAAGAAGGCATAGTCCTCAGTGTTGGTGTTTCAGAAAGGTCAACTAAGTAAGATACAGAAAGTACCCACTGGATTAAGTAGCTATGAAGTTGGTGAACTTGTTGAGAGTAGTATCGGTAGAAATGAGAGAGAAAAGGCAGAAACCAGATGGAGATGAGTACAGACAACCTTTTCAAGAAACTACTGTGAATGGGAGGGAGGAGAGTGTGAGGCAAGATATGAGAAGGAAATGTGTAAGCAAGGAGCTTGATTTGAAAAGAACAAAGAGATTTAAATATGCAGGAACAGGAATAGGAATTAATCAAGAAAAGGGTTAAAAATAACAGGAAAGATAAGACCAGCAGATGGCATAACGGTTACATCGCTGGACTCCCACATAGTCGATCATGGTTCAAAGGCTTCAAACTCTCACTGGGTGCATGTGTGTGCATGTCCAAGATCCCGAGAGGAGAATGAAGGTGAAGGGATTGTGGCGTGGCTATCCCCCCAGGGGATGATTTCTCACTTTCTGTCTCTTGTCTCTGTCACTCCAGCTGATTACACGTGCCCTATAGCAAAAAATCTCTTAAAAAAAGAAAACATCAGGAAAGAAATATTAGGTGAAATCTCAAAGAAGGGGCCATATAGTGGCACAGTGATAAAACACCGTGTTCTGTGAAGTAATCCCATAAAGGAAGGGTCCCAGTTCAAATCTGGAGACCTCCCTGAGTCCATTAGGTGTGTGTCGTGTGTGTGTCCATGATCTAGGGCTGGAATAAATCAGTAAACTTAAATAATAAATCTTGGGGGACCTGCAGATGCATAGCAGTTATGTGGCTGGGCTACAGTGTGACTGACTGCAGTTCAAGTTCCAGACCTGGTGGCTTGAAAATCACATCAGGCACGTTTGCATGCGTGCCCAAGATCCCAGGAGGAAAATGGAGAAGGGATTGTGGCGTGGCCATCCCCCTACCCCTGGAGGTGATTTCTCACGTTCCCTCTCACTATCTCTGTCACCCTCTCTCTCTAGCAAGCACATGTCCCCTAAGGCAAAAACTTCTTTAAAAAAATGAAATCTTGGGGCCAGCAGGTGGTATGGTGGTCGGGATACTGGACTCCCACAAGGCCAGCTATAGTTTAAGTCATGAATGTGGTGGCTTGCCTTTTTTTTTAATTTCTCTT